AGATTAAATTCTAAACTAATGCAAGTACAGAGATTAAAGAAAAGTGAGAGAATTCATTATAAATAAGGAAAATCTTTTCCTATAACAGGCTTCTATTATATATTTTATAATATACACTTCCTCTTCTGGGTTCAGACAAATGCAGGTTGACTCAGACTTCCATCTTTCGGAGGTTAGTAAAATGAGGACCCAGGTTGTTTGGGGTAATATGCTGACTCTGTAAACTGCTTAGAGGGCTGTAAAGCACTGTGAAGCTGTATATGACTGTAGTATTACTATTAAGAAACAATTGTTACCCTAGCCTCTTCCAACCAGAATGGAACATTTATGCGCCAACCATTGGCCACACCATTTTGCCCCCAGCTGATTCACAGCCAACTTTCCCCCTTCACTATCCCTCCCCCGGTGATTTTCCATAACCAATGCCCCCCTGATCCTCCACTTTCAACTCTTCAGCACAGCCTATTCCTTCAGGCATTGTTTGACCCGGGTCTTTCACTGCATGGGACAAGAAGCTGCCAGCCAATCTGCTGCGGGCAGGAGTGAACAATCAGCAGTAGGCTATGGAAAAGTGCACCATAACAGGGGGGCTAAGGGGAAGTGCGCCAGGCAACTGGTGGCAGTTGCAGTGGCGTGCAGAAGCGATTGCAAGGGCCATGGAGGGGTGCTTCAATTAGGAGAGTTTTCCTACCTTTAAATTGCAGCAAGCCATTGTTGCTACATTTGGGGATCCATTTGGCACTCATGCTGCTAGGGGAGAGCAAAGCCTGAGGCAAGCAGGGCAGGCTTCAGCCTAACTTTCTACCCAGAAAAAATTCAGAGGCTCTCTAAATCTCAGCAAAGCATTATGGAAGGAAATTGCTTCTGTGTGCGCTCTAGCAATGCTCCAGGGTTTTGCATCCCTGATCTAGTCCTAAAACAAGGTTTCCTTCCAATCCTGGATATATCCAGAATGTCGACCCTGAAACTGGCATAGGTGTAGTAGCCATGTCTTAGTGTAGCCATTTCTTATTCTTATTATTTTCCGGATTTACACCAAGACCTTGCCAATTTGATATATTCCTAATAAAATGATCTTTGAAGAATATGCCTACATTTGACTTCTTGTTACTGGGGATGTATTACTTAGAAGTTTGACACAAAATACTGGATTGCTCCCTGTTTTGTTTTTCTTCAAAGCAAATTGTCTGGAAGGACTTTGGAGGGAACAAGACCTAATTATAAATCCAGTATGAGGAGAAAAAGGAGGCACTTGCATTTAAAAATCACTTTACTACTGCTTCCCAGGATTTGTCAAAGGGTCTTTGTCTGCAACGGACTTGGGAATCATCTTCCCCTTCTCAAGCTCCATGTCAGGCTTGCCCATTTCAGGGCTCCTCCTTGCTGGAGAGAGTCAATAGTGTGGCTAGTTGCTTGCATACAGTTCTAGAGAGGAATGGTCTCTGGGGTTTCCTGGATTGAACATTGGTGGTGACAAACACTTCCCTCCTTCCTTTGCCATTTCCTGTTACTATGTCTTGGTGAAAGGCACCGGCCCAGCTCTGTAAGCTGTCTATAGCAGCCACAGCAGCAAAAGGAAGACGGGCCAGAATGGAAGCGTCCTTCAGATTACAGTCAGGATCCAATGTGATCTGATGGAGCAGTCTTGGCTCCATCTCCACAGTGATGGAGTTCCACTGGTTCCCTTTTTGCCCAGAGTCCTGTCTCCTCCTTGGAACGAAGGGCTGGGGCTGGAAGGTCAGGGACCCATTGTCCACTGAGAATCACTAGAGGAGGTCCAGTGGAAGAGAAAAGCTGCATAAGCTGAAGTGAGTGATTGGGAGCAAAGTGGAGGCGACCAATTGTCAGCACCTAAATGTCTTAGTCCCCTTCCAACTTAGCCAATAACTTTCCTGAGAAGGTAACTTTTTTTTAGTTAAGTCTCACTGTTGTGTGATGATGCATGGTGTATCTGTACTTAAAAGGTTTCATTTTGCTTGTTTATTCCTGTCAGAAGCATCACAATTAAAATAAGGCATATGAATATGACATTGTCATATGACATAAAATATAAAATACAAAATTAAAATATGTACAAGTTACACAGATCTCATCCAACTAGCAAAATTAATTCCATTTTAATTCCATTCCATTAATTTAATTAATTCCATTGCTATGAAGTCCTCAAGTGTGCACTGATCAGGACACAAAAGACAGCCAAGGGCAGAAGCCACCCTAAAGCCCTATTTGTTCAGAATATCTCTGGAAGTTATTGTATCCCGTGCATAGTCTATTAACAGATCTAAATTAAGAACTGGGGTAAAACAGGCAAAATATGCAAATGGAGTATTATTAATTTTAGATCTCTACATATTTCTAAATTCATTTGCTAAATTGATAGATTTTCTAGAATGTTTGGGAATATCTATCTTTTTGAAAGTAATATAACATTATTCAAAAAATCCATTTGTTAGAGGGCTGTAAAATCCAGTCAGAAAGCACAAATTTCATAGAAAGGCAGAATGGTGTGGTTGAAGTCAGATAATCTTCTGAAGAATCATCAATCCTTCTTCAACTCCTGCAAAACATCTAATGGAATCCAAATAAAAAGTTGGAGGGAAAAAAACAGATTTTCCTAAATCCCTGAATATATATTTGTTTATTGGCTTTGTAAATATATATATGTCTTACTGGCATTAAAAGAAAAATTCAATATATAATTATGACCTTCACTCCTTTTTTCCCCTTCCCAAATTCAGTCTCTCTCACTCAGTTCATTTTATCTATTATTACATTCAGGAACCAGTATTAAAACTCAGTCTCATTCATGCACTACTACATTTCTTCAAGTTCTCTAATACTTCCACTGAACTATCTTATTATTTTTCTAAAACCTGCATCCTCCTCCTTTATCCCAGATCGCCTCCCAGCCTTTCCCATTGATATTCCTGTTTCCTTGGTACCATCTCACATTTACTGCTTCATGTAATCCAGGGTCCTCCTTGCTTGCCTGACTACTATATGAAAATCTTCCTATGTCACACTGACTGGCAACAGCATCTATTCCTTCTTTGAGTTTTCTTTTTTGGTAGCTAAGCATGTTTCAGAGCAAAACATTGTCTTTTGCCTACCTTCTATTTTTATTTTCAAAGATTTTTTCTACAGTATAAAGATGTCAAGTGGCTAAAGGCCAGCTCTTCATTTTGAATGTTTCCACTAAAGCAACCTGTTCTAAATAAATAAAATGAAATTTAAAAATTCAGCAACCCACTCCAGGAAGGAAATGTTCATATACTGATGGCTATAAGCATCATGATGCTTATCCAACTCAAGATTTATTTATTTATTTTATTTATTTATTTATTCATTCATTCAAGTGGCTCGCATTCCAACCAACAATTACCCAAACTCTACTTGTGACCTTTTAGTCTTAATTACCATATTGTAGGCAGTTCCCTATGGCTTTAGATATGTGACTGTCATTTCCATATCACAAATATTTTTTTAAAGTAAATTGATGATTATGTTCTTCAATACCTATTTAAACCTATTATAGATGTATCCTAGTATCTGCAAGTTTATTTAAATTCATATTTCATTTTATTATGTTTCAGGTTTGCCTTGCTCAACATCTGCTATATGGCAGAGGAGTCCACTCCATGATAGTTACATCATTATCAAGTTTTTAGGTGAAAACAAAAATCTCCGACTGGAGCTAACTAATAATAGAGAATGGAGAAGATAAGGAGAGGCGAAAATCTGGACTAAACAAAGTCTCATTTGCAAGGAAATTATTTTTGCAACAGATGTTTGCTCTCACAAGGAAAAGGGGGAATGGATTGTATTTGAAAATTCCTTCTTTCAAACTTAAAATATTTCTATTATGAAATGAAATGTTAATCATCTCTCTCTCACACACAATGTTCCAATGCAGAGATACTACTGGGGTCAGGTAACAGCTGGATTTCCAAGCATACTGATCTCATTGAGCTAGTCAACATAGTATGTAACTGTGTATAACAGATACAGCTTCACTGTTACATGTATGTAAATCAGTTACTCTTAAAAATATGCTACTTATACCCTTCATGTGATGAAGTGGATTGAAATCTTATGTGCTAAGAAAATTGCTGCAGACTGCACACAGTGGGGCAAAATGAAGTTTATCTTTTTTTTTTTCCACAACACCCAAAGTGATCCTGCTGAATCTCTTTGGGAAAGGGTGGGAAATATATGATCCTAGAACTGCATGTGGCCCCAAATTTCTCTTTTGCAGCCTTTGGAGCAGCTACAACCACAAATGTAAAACACTGAATGCAGCATTTAGTGCCATTATGAGTAGGAACCACATTCAAAAGACTGCAAACGCCAAAATAAACAAATTATATTTAAAAGGACCCAAGAAAACCAAAATAATCTGAGCACAGAAACATGCATAATGAGGCCAAATTCACTTTGCAGCTCTCAGGTTCTAAAATAATTTAAAATGGGGTCCTTACTCATTAAAAGTAATTCATACCTCTGGTTTCAGAAACTCATAAGATCTGTAATTGTTCTTCACAGGAAGCCAAGATAAATCATAGTATAAAGGGCATCCAAAAAATAGATGGTCCTCTTCACACTAAGCTTATCAACCTACAAATCTTCTAGCATTTGAGAATTGGGCTTGTGGCTGTGTATAAACACTGCCGATAGGGGCTTCAAGCAAGATGCTAGGAGAGTGGTTGTCTCCCTCAAAACCTGGTTTTTCCTTCCTGCTCCTGAATAATATCAAACTTTTAGCTATATTATTGATTTGCTATTTCATAATCAGTCTTTAGAGAAACAAAGTGAGTTTTCTGATAAACTCCGGCTTGGTTTTTGTTTGCTTTTTTCCTCCTAAAGGACTTACTGCAAAGCAAATCATGCCTTTCAAGCGTACCTTGAGCATACTATTCACGAGCGTAGCCAAATGTTCCTTTCAAGAGTCTCCTTGACAATACGATAGATATAACCCGGGAACTGTAGCGTTAGGTACTTACCCCATAGCACAAAGAGGAAAAGTTGGGCCAATCGCAAGGCACGACGCTCCATCCCGAATATTTCGGCAGCACGAGGCAACACAGCCGGCAGTCTGAGGCGAAGGCAACGCGCATGAGGCCCTTTCAGAGCAGCCTCTGTCAGATCTTTTATTCGGCACTCTCGCTAGTGGAGAACCGATCTTCGCTCTACCGTATGAAGTCCTGAGCGGGAACTTGGGCTGCCAAGCATCTCGGTCTGCACAAAATCCAACCCTCCTGCTCCACCCCCTTCCTCCGCGGACATATAAGAAGCCACCGCCACCACTCAGCTCGGAGTGCCATTGTTTCCTGCGTTCCTCCTCCCAAGCCTGGTTTGAAGAGGAGCAGGAGCAGGAGGAGATATCCCCGGACGCTCCAGGGAAAAGATAGTGCAGCCTGATGCTACCGGCAAGCACTGCCAGGACGGGATTAGGGTGGCCTCCCAGAACTCGGGCCTTGGGGGTGGGGCAGCTGGTGGAATGCCCCTTTCTTGCCTTTCTTTTTTCCCCCGCCTTCTGGCCAAATCCGCCACTCTTCTTTTTTACGTTCTGTCCGCTTCTTTAATTCCTCTCTATATTTTTGGAACACTTCTTGATCAATGGAACTCTGTTTTATTTTATTTACTTTAACTATCTCTCTTGAACAAACTGCTGTGTACCCTACCTCCTTACCTAGCTTTTAGGAGCTTCCAGGAGCTCAGGTAAGAGAAACTTTTCCCTGGATAGCTTAGATAAAGCAGGTGGCCAACACACTCCTGATAGCATCACAATTTATCATAATGGATGCCTTTTACTGCACAGGATAAATGAGCAGGCACAGAGCACCCACAGACAATTTTATAACAGCTGGCTGAGTACAAGTTGACAGCACCAATTAATCATAACAAAATGCTGTAGCATATAAAAGAAAGCAGGAGGGGGATTTTATTATTATTCTTTTCATCATTTTACATCATGAATAATCAGGCTTGAAAACAGAAGCCCAACTATTCTTGTCTCAACCTCAATGTCTGCTTTGTGTGTCTGTGTGAGAGAGACAGAGTTTAATTTTGATTTTTCACATGTGAAAACGTATTCAATACTTTGTTTCCAAGCTTTACTTTTTTTCCTAAGAAAAGCCACTATGATAATAAATTGATTTTGAGGAGAAATTGTCTATTTCTTAAATAAAGAACTAAGAAATAAAGTAAAAAATCTAAGCTATGCTTGCAGGGCTATATCCTTATTCTGTAGCAGCAGTTACTCAGAATAAGCAAGAGCAGCCCAGAATACTTCAAAAGCCAGTTACACAAATCAATATTACTTTAGTTTCACACTGCTAAAATACATTTAAGAACTGGGTAAGCCTCCCTACTACTGTACTGGTCACTGGTATTCATAGTTTCTTCTCTGTGTTGATCTCAAAACCAAGGGAAAAGAAAAAGTATGGGGGGGGGTGGAATCTTAAGAAATTTAATTCTAATAAAATTGAAGTTCATTTTCTTGTATTTAATGCACAAAGGAAGGATTGGCTAAAATTATTGCTTGCTTTAGAAGTTTTTTTGAATCCTGGAATGAGGCAAGATTGCTGCAGAGCTTGCTTTGCTGAAAAGAAGCATTTTTCAACAGGATGAACCTTTTTCATGATCATTTATTGTATAATAGTTATGGGCTTTATTCTGGATGAGTTTGATTTGGGCCTCCTAGGATGCATTCAATAGAGGAAGTAGGCTATTTACTCTGGGGGGACTACTAAATCAAACAAATTATGTAGTTAATGATTATGCATGGAAAAAGAGAAAAGGGCAAGTGTTGCTAGCTTTTGACATATAACAAGCTCCTGAGTGCATGATGTCCATGGATATATAGTAAATAAGTAAAGCGTAAAGCAAGCCTGCACAACTTGCAGAGAAAAAAGCAACACTGATAATAAATTAAGAATTTATTAAAAATAATAGTAGGCTATAAAGAAATATCTGGCACACCAATCAGATGATTTGTAGTGTAGGAAGTTAGCACCCACCCATCTCCTAGAAAAATGAAATATCCTAGGAAATATTTAAAAGGCAGAATATTTCCCCTAAAAAGAGAAGTAGAAACTCAAAAGCAGAAGTTCACTCCCACCTTTGTTAATGTGTGGGCCAGAGTATTCTATATAACAAAGGCTCATGTCACCACCTGGCCTGGGTAGATTGCATCAGCCAGCACTCAGGTGAAGCCATGTGGTCCAGACAAAGCCTACCCCACCCCGCCCCTGGGAGTCTGACAGCCAATGGGATACATTTCTTGCACAGGAACAGGAAACACTAAGGTAGGACCCAACAGAGGTTATATAACTAAGGGACTCTCAGCATCTCAGCCCTTTTCCTTCTTTCTTCACCTAAGGCATGTGATCCTGTCCACTTTCCAAACATGTTTCCGGTGTCTTTCTTTCCTATTTGGAACTGAACCCAGAAGAATATTTCTTCCAACAGTATCTAACAAAGGCCGAAGTTCTGGAGGTAGTGGCTATGAGGCCTGTTGATTGGATTGGCAGTGAGTCTCCATAGCTGAGAACAGACCTGAACATGGTTTTCATAGTATTCTACATTGAGTTCAGTGTCTTTATCACTACACCTTGCTTGCTTTTAAGTAATTTGAATTGGTTCTCGTGTGAACTTTTGTCAGTGTGACTGTTCATGTTATGAATAACTTAGAGTTTGCATTTTCACAAATTCTAGAGAACTTAATTTTGAGACAGTTTTTAAAAAAATAAATAAAGGATATCTCTACTCTTAGAGATTGGAACATTTTGTTGTAAACAGCTCAGAATCATTAGAGATTGAAGTAACCTCTAAATCAGGGGTACCAAACTGGCGGTCCGTGGGTTGGATGCATCACAGGCAGGTCACATCCACCCCAGCTCCACAAAGGGGAAAACAGTTGTGGTATGTCACGTGACTGCAATGTGACAACACAAGTTGGCCACCCATACTCTAAATAATTCTGGCTTAGCTATATAACTTACTTACTTCAGCTTTTCTTACCATCAGGTGAAAGTATCTGTATAAAGAGATAAGATTTTATTGACTTCAGAATCTATTTAAAAGATTAAGTAATTTTTTATGTTCAATTTCTTGAGAATTACTCAAATCAAGAGCTCAGATAGTATATTATATTGTTTGTGTCTTTCTTAAAAAGGAATTCTGCATTTGCTCTAAAATTCAAGCAGCTTAAATATTGCTAGCTGAGGAATACATTGAGTTGTAATCTTCATTTTCATATTTCTTTCAATCCTTCCCTTGAGACACTTTCCCCAAAATATCTTGTAACATACCTTGTGAGATTTATACATTAATATATCCTTTCTGTTGTGCCAAGTCTTAAAGTGGCTTTTTTCTATTTACTTTTTTTCTGAGAAAAGGAGAAATGCATCACTGCACCCCGTCTCAAAAAACATATATAATTTCATTTCAATTTGTATATGTTAATTATATCAACATATACTAATATGTTGCTATAATTTTAAAATTAATCACTATAATTATTTCAAGACAAAATACATCTCAACAGAGGAGAAATGAGTAATCAAGTACTCTGTGTCTACACAATTTACTGTCAGAGCTTTGAGAGCCAAGTTCTCCTTTTCTTTAATTGTTCCTTTATTTTTAAATTACACTTAGACTGAAGAACTCTTCAAATGAAGGTCTTATGCTTTGTAAAATAGGACACAGAACTACTCTAGTTACAATTGCATGGGTATTAAGCTATCCCTGAATATTTAAGCTATTTAATTATACGTTATATAATAGATAACCAGGCTGAGCCTGAGGGAGGGGTCAACCACGTCATCAGCATGGAATAAGCATGTGCTCATTTGAATAATGCTGGTTCCTGATTTCTTGTACCTGATACTGTACTAAGTTCTACATATTGTAGGATTAGTAAAGCAAATACAAAGCACCTTTGTATTTAACATTTCAATAACAATATTTAAGGGATAAAATTTTAATAAATAATTATAAACAATAACTATTTAGATAAAAAACCCAGCCCATTTCCCACATACACAAAGGACTTCATTCCTTTGCCTTAAAAATTGGAAGATCTATTCAGTGTTTATATGCCAGGTTTGCAATCTTTGCTGCTGCTTCATCATACTTCACACTGTCTGTAAATTAAAATTGCTGTACAGTTGGTTCTGAGTTAATAATAATAATAATAATAGGGACCAGGAACTCTGTTGCTAAGCAACATAGTCGTAAAGTGTGATGTCATATGACAACTAGATGTTGGCTGCTGCCGGTTTTGCTGCTGGTTCTTCTGTGCAGTTCGGCGAACTGGCAAATCCCACCACTAGCTGGCCCCGAAAAATGGCCTAAAAACAGCGAAAAAAATGGGCAGGGGCAGGACCAGCTAGTGGTAGGATTAGTCCCAACTGGCTGAATTCTACCTCTGCCTTTGAGGCGAGTGGTGAAGAGGCAGGGCTGGGTGTGATGAGTGATGTCACCTACCCAGTCACATGATCAACCGGCCACACCTACCCAGCCAGAGAACCAGTTATTAAAAAATTTTAACAAGCAAACCACTACTGGTGACAACAGTAGTTCCAGCAGTTCTAACTGCAGTTCTTTCATGAAGCCTGTACTGTTGTTAGAGCAATGTCACATGACAGCTCTTTTAGGACTTCTGCCAGTTTTGTCATTGATTTTGCTTGTTGGAATCTGACAGTGAAGGACACAAATGTTGATCATGTGACCATGGGACACTGCAACTATCATGTGAGCTGTTTACCAAGCATCCACATTCTATCACATGACTTTAGGGACACTGCAACATAGCCGCAACTTCAAGGGTCAGCTAAATGTCCTTGTTCAGTAATCGTCACTTAACAAATGGTTGCTAACAAAGGACAACCTGTATATACAATTTATAACTTTAATTACTTTATGATATTTTAAGAAGATTGATAATATATTAAGATTATTTTTATGGGAAGAATCAACCCATAAAATTTTTTCAAGTAAATTGCAATTATGAGAGTTTTAATTTTCTGATTTTCAGTTTTATTACGTGTGTGTGTGTGTGTGTGTATACATACATACATACATACATATATTAGATAGATAGATAGATGATAAATAGATAGATAGACAGACAGGCAGACAGACAGACAGATAGGCAGACAGATAGATAGATTAAATCCAAATAATCATGTTAAAATGGGGGGCATGATTGATTTGTTATGAGCTCTTTTATACCATGGCAGTGGCATGTTTC